GGTAGTTACTATGTCTGATAAAATCAATCCAAGAGAACAAATACTTTTTTTCTGAAAAAATAATTCATTTTACTTTTCCAATTTTTGCTTTTATAAATTTGAGAACTTATTTGAATAAATTGTGTGAACATTTCACAATAAATATAACTCACTACAGCAGGTCTACAAGTATTATGAAGGRTAAAATCTGATTTAGAACTTTTCACCTGACATTTTTAAATCATTGTATTATTTTTAACACTCTCATCACTTCCTTTTTCACAATTTTTATTTTGGCTCTTTTTACCATGAAAAATTCCAATTAGAAAGCTCTTGTTCATGTTATTTTAAATACGAGCAAATGTAGTTTCCTCTGAATTAACTTGAATTTCCTTCTCCAAACTAAACACAAAACATTGTATCTTACAYTGTGAACAGTCCTGGGTCCTCCAAAATGTTCTTTTTAAAGTTGAATACTTCCAAATAATAAAAAAAATTAAAATAAAAGCACAGTTTTGGTTTATCTCAAACTGTATTCCCAAAAGCTGCTTCCAGATGCAAAAGCCTCCTTCTGTGGCAAGACTTGATGAAAGCGCGTCTCTCAAAACGAAGAAAAAAAACGAGAAAAAAAAGTATTCAGAGTCTTGGAGCAGCCTCAGGGAGGTGCYGATGCTGCCAGAGAGAAGTGATGAGCTGTGAACTCAGCAAGCCGGATCAGCCGGCCTCAGAGCGGAGTGGGAGGAGCCAGCAGCTGCTGATGGCTCAGCTCTCTCCAGGAGATGACCACATCAGACCACCAGTCCACTGACATGAACACAACGATGGCAGTGTGTGACAGAGACACATTTGTTGTCACACTTAATGCTTTATTCTCTGTATGAGTGAATGTGAACTCTACAGTTTGCCGTTGTACTCCCATTGTTTTGTTTTTTAAGAGATGAAATAAAGTAAGATTTAGCTCTTGTGCTTTATTTTATTTGCAAGTTTATGATGTGTTCAGATGAAGCAGGAGCATGAAAAGGGCTCAGCACTGACATCTGTTGGCAGCTGGGAAGACAAAGCCGACTAGCACCCGCTGCATTTTCACTGATATTCAAAAACACATCAGTTCCAGAGTTTTATAGTTTCTACATTTTAATCAACGACGTAATAAAATGACCGTTTGAAGGAAAGAAGAATCTGTTTTATTCTAAAGAACTAATTCACAGTTTCTCACCAACATTAACAGTTTGTATGGTCCTACTCACACAAAGTACTCGATTAAGATGTTCGTCAAAAGGTTAAATGAGCTACAACTCGTTACTGTAAATAGACAACCATGTTATCAACCAACAGGTTTTCAAACATCCAGTGAACAAAAGGATATCAAAGTTTAAAAAATAAAATTAAATCTTCAAAGTATTGGAAAATAGCGAACTCTAGGCAATTCATTTGCTGAAGAAAAACTCTACAGAGCTCCTGTTCCGTAACGCTATTTCAAATAAAACTCAGGGGAGTAAAAACGGAGCAGCTAGAACTCAGAGTCATTTGTCATCGGTTCTTGTTTAGGCAGAAGTGAAACATTGTAACTAATGGGTGTATTGASGGCAACTCTGCTGTCGCTTCTATTCAAGCCCAGTCTCTTCTTCATCAGCTTGTCCTCGTTGTTCAACTTTGTGCGGATTGCAGTTTTTATTAGGTTGCTGTCGACCCCAAACTTCGCTGCAACGTGATCTGAGGGGAAAAAACACAAAAACATTACGCCCTTTCACTGCGGGTTTTGTGTATGATTAGGAGGGAAGGTTTGTGTTTTCAATCTTACCCATGAGGCCTTTCAAAATCTCAGGTGGGAGAGCGGGCTTGTGGCTCTCCTCCCCTACCGAGCTCTTGCGGCTCTGGAGGCAGTGCGTGGCCAGAGTGTGTCTGTCGAACAGTGTCATCAGCAGCGCTGAAATGTACTTCTTGTAGTCACCTATTTCTGCAATGCGATGGTAGAGATTTTTGGGCACCCGAAGGCTCTCCCCCAGATAAACAAAATTCTGGCCATCCTACAAACAAACACACAAAATTATAGTAAGCTCCAAAAACAACGATGTTGCATTAATAGCTGCAGTTGTCTTGAAGTGATGGGAGCGCTCACCTCCTCCGAGACATTATCATCTGCTGTCATCTGCATTTCAGGCTCAGGCAGGAAAGTCACAACCTCGTCTGGGTTTTGCGACGCGACCTCTGCCTGACCTCCGTGGAGGACGTGGTCCAGAGTGACTCGCAGCTCATGAGCCGTGTGCCTCATCTGCAGCATCAGGGTGTTCATCTCTGCAAAAGGGATTGAATAAAAGAGGAAAAACTGAAATGCACCAAGTGAGGATTAAAAAAAAGTTTTATGACACGCTCACAAATTCAATATATTTAATGTAAATATTTCATTTTAATGGTCACTGCTAAAATGGGAGTTCCCAAAAGTTTCCTTGTGTAATAAAGTTAAGCCTTAATTACAATGTGTAAAAGGTTTGCCTGTCAGAAAATGAACTTTTTTGAGTTTAACTGCAGAGTAACCCAAGCCCTTCAGCATCCCTACATGGATGCTAAAGGGCATGAGTCCAGTGAAAAATCTGTTTAACCTTAAAGTGCCTATGACATCAAATTTTGGTGATAAATACATATGCATTTTTGAAAACACAACACTAATAACATACTGAAATAAAATACAAAAAAATCTACACAGCTGAAATGAACAAATATTGAGACATGAGCGGGAACAGAAAGTAACGACAAAAAGGAATGCCTGCATGTTTCACTTAGGCCATTTC